TGTGAGAGAGTGTTGGACTGGATGGGCCATTGGCCTAACATTGGCTTCTCTTATGTTCTTACGTAAGGTCCCAGGTTCAACCCCCAGTATCTCCAGTTAAAAGGTCCAGGCAGTAGGTGATGTGAAAGACCTCAGCCTGAGACTCTGGAGAGCCACGAAGTGGGGCTGTGGCTCAGTGGTAGAACATCTTCTTCGCAGGCAGAAGGTCCCAGGTTCAATCCCCGGCATCTCCAGTTCAAAGGTCCAGGCAGTAGGGGATGTGAAAGACCTCAGCCGGAGACTCTGGATAGCCATGAAGTGGGGCTGTGGCTCAATCCCCAGCAATCCAGGCAGTAGGTGATGTGAAATACCTCAGCCTGAGACTCTGGAGAGCCATGAAGTGGGGCTGTGGCTCAGTGGTAGAGCATCTTCTTGGCAGGCAGAAGGCCCCAGGTTCAATCCCCGGCATCTCCAGTTCAAAGGACCAGGCAGTAGGGGATGTGAAAGACCTCAGCCGGAGACTCTGGAGAGCCATGAAGTGGGGCTGTGGCTCAATCCCCAGCAATCCAGGCAGTAGGTGATGTGAAAGACCTCAGCCTGAGACTCTGGAGAGCCATGAAGTGGGGCTGTGGCTCAGTGGTAGAGCATCTTCTTGGCGGGCAGAGGGCCCCAGGTTCAATCCCCGGCATCTCCAATTCAAAGGTCCAGGCAGTAGGGGATGTGAAAGACCTCAGCCGGAGACTCTGGAGAGCCATGAAGTGGGGCTGTGGCTCAATCCCCAGCAATCCAAGCAGTAGGTGATGTGAAAGACCTCAGCCTCAGACTCTGGAGAGCCGTGAAGTGGGGCTGTGGCTCAGTGGTAGAGCATCTTCTTGGTGGGCAGGAGGTCCCAGGTTCAATCCCCAGCATCTCCAGTTCAAAGGACCAGGCAGTAGGGGATGTGAAAGACCTCAGCCGGAGACTCTGTAGAGGTGCTGCCAGTCTGAGTAGACAGGACTGAATTTAATGAATCGAGGATATGATCCAGTATAAAGCAGCTCCATGCGTTCATTTCAGCCCAAGTGCCAAAACACCCCACAGTGTTTATTTGCAATGAAGTTGGTGTGCCAGCAAACAAAAGGTATGTGTGAGTGTGTGGGGATGGGGGATGAGAGTTCTTCTTGGCCAGACACAATGGAAGCAAGCTGAGCCTCAGCGGCACTGCCAGGACCTCAGGGGCTTGGGCGGGGAATGGGTGCCGGGTGTGGAGCGGATCAGTCTCACGTGCCACCTTTCGGCACACGTGCTGCTGATTGCTTACTGCTGGGACAGGATCGTCAAGGCAGAACCTCTCCGGGCTCTATTGGCTCACTGCTCCCATCCCTGTCGAAGACAAAAAAACGTTCAGTGAGGTTTGTGAATGTTTGAAAAAAAGGGGAAAAGGGAAAAAAACAACAACCCTGAACCTAAAAACTGGAATTCAGAACCTAAAAAGGTTAGTCAAGAATGGAAGAGGGCCAACTCTAAAAATCTAATATACATGTATGTATTAAACACAAATTAAAATCACAAATATGGGCCCATTCATACCTCATATACAAATATAAAAACATACAAAGGCTGATGAAATAGACCTAACGCGTTTCGGCCTTCACAGGCCTTCCTCAGAGGTCTAATGCAAATAGAACATATTGGCTGATATGTAAAAATACATACAATCGTACATATACAAAATATGAAATAAGGGCCAGAACACAATTGCTGTAAACATAAAAGAAATAGAAAATTAGACACATAGACTACAGCTATTAAATATATCGTTGTAGTGTATTCAAAGCTGCCTTGAATGCATGATATGTTTCATAATTAGATTTTTAGAGTTGGCCCTCTTCCATTCTTGGCTAACCTTTTTAGGTTCTGAATTGTGAAGGTTTGACCCACCCCTTCGTGCCAGTTAGAATCATAGAATCGTGGAGTTGGAAGGGACCAGGGCTATTTTTGGGCAGGAACGCACAGGAACGGAGTTCCGGCTGGCTCCTGAGTTGGCCACGCCCAGCAGGAACTCATTAGCATAATAGGCCACACCCAACAGCAGAAACTCATTCGGATTGGCTACATTCGGGGTGTGTGGCCTAACATGCAAAGGGTTCCTGCTACAAAAAAAGGCCCTGGGTCTTGACAACAAACAAGGTAAACAGAATAAGAAGCAAAAGCTGGGTGTGGCTGGATGAGCACACTTCTGGTGACATGGGGGTGTGGCCTAATATGCTAATATGCTGTCAGGGTGTGGCCTACTATGCTAATGGGTTTCTGCTGTTGGGTGTGGCCTGTTATGCTAATGAGTTCCTGCTGGACTTTTTCTACCAAAAAAAGCCCTGGAAGGGCCCTGACAGACAGAGAGGGGGAGCTCACTACCTTCCGAACCAGATGATTCCACTGTTGAACAACTCTGACTGTTGGAAAAATTTTCCTCATATCCAGCTGGTGCCTTCCCGCCCTGAATTTAAACCCGTTATTGACGGTCCTCTCCTCTGGTGCCAACAGGAGCAGCTTCTCCTCCAACAGGAACAACACGCCCTCCTCCAAGGGGCAGCCCTTCAAATACTTCAAGAGAAGAAGAAGAAGAAGAGATTGGATTTATACCCCGCCCTTCACTTGGAGTCCCAGAGCGGCTTACAAACTCCTTTCCCTTCCCCTTGTCAGCTAAGCTGCCATGAGTAGGGTGAGACGTTCTAATTGCTATGCATTCCTTCCCATGCGCTTAATTGCTTCACAGCTGCAACGCTTATCTGTAAAGTGGTACTGGAGGAGTGTGGTGTCTACCTTTCATGGGATCGTTCTGGTTCCCAGCTTTGCTACCGTTAGAGACTATTCCCGTCTCCCACACGCGGGACCCCATCTAATTGGGTATTACTGGGGGGGGGGGGCATACGAATGCCCTATAACCTATTATGCGCATGTGAAAAGGATCTAGGTGTTCTGGTTGATCACAAGCTAAACATGAGCCTGCAGTGTGAAAGGGATCTAGGTGTTCTGGTTGATCACAAGCTAAACATGAGCCTGCAGTGCGATGTGGCTGTGAAGAAAGCGAACGCAATCTTAGGATGCATTAACAGAAGCATTGTGACCAGATCACGGGAGGTGGTAGTTCCGTTCTATTCTGCTATGGTCAGGCCTCACCTGGAGTCCTGTGTCCAGTTTTGGGCATCACGTTTTAGGAAGGATGTTGACAAGCTTGAGCGTGTCCAGAAAAGGGCAACCAGGATGGTGAGAGGGTTGGAATCCAAGGCTTATGAGGAAAGGCTGAAAGAGTTGGGTATGTTTAGCCTGGGAAAGAGAAGGCTTAGAGGGGACACGATTGCAGTCTTCAAGTACTTGAAGGGCTGTCATGTAGAAGATGGAGCGTATCTATTCTCTCTTGCTCCGGATTGCAAGACTAGATCTAATGAGTGGAAATTACAAGGGAGTCATTACCAGCTAAATATCAGGAGAAACTTCCTAACTGTAAGACTGGTTGAGCAGTGGAACAGTCTGCCTCGGGAGGTGGTGGATGCTCCTTCACCGGACGTTTTCAAGCGGAGGCTGGACGACCATCTTTCGGGTATGTTGTAGGCAATGTTCCCTCTAAGCTGTGGAGTCTTGTGAAATTCTACCTTGTGAGCTACTGGCATTAAAAGTTGTGAGCGAGCGATTTGGCTACTGTATATATTAGTTTGATCTGGAGCCCTCCTCCCTGAGCTAAGTCAAAAATCTGTGAGCTGGAGGATAAAAAACTGTGAGCTGGCTCACACTAACTCAGCTTAGAGGGAACACTGGTTGTAGGTATGTAGGGCTATCTTTCAGGTATGGTCCTGCAGAGTTCAGGGGGTTGGACTAGATGACCTGCAAGGTCCCTTCCAACTCTAACATTCTATGATTCTAAGAAGAAGATGAAGAAGAGGAGGAGGAGCAGGAGGAGGGGGAGGGGGAGAAGGAGGAGGAGGAGATTGGATTTATACCCCGCCCATCGCTCAGAGTCTCAGAGCAGCTTACAACCTCCTTTCCCTTCCCCTACCACAACAGACACCCTATGAGGTAGGTGGGGCTGAGAGAGATCCTTTGAGAACTGCTTGTGAGAGAACAGCTCTGAAATAACTTGTAACTGACCCAAGGCTACCCAGCTGGCTGCATGTGGAGAAGTGAGGAATCAAACCTGGTTCTCCAGATTACAGTCCGCCACTCTTCACCACTACACCAAACTGGTGTCATCAGGCGTCAAGGTGTCCATAAGTGCCATGTTGGCAATCATAGAATCATAGAGTTGGAAGGGACCTCCAGGATCATCTAGTCCAACCCCCTGTACAATGCTGGAAATTCACAAATACCTCCCCCTCCGTACCCGTAGTGATCCTTGGACTACAGTCAAGCAATCTGCCAAACAGCCAGAGTCAAACTGAAAACCAAAGACTTGACTCCCTGTTTTTGACCGGCAAACATGGCACGAACTGAACTGGCTGGTGTTCGAGCATCTCTAGTTCTTCTTTGTTTGTGCCACTGTTGTATTAAGAGGCTGAGAAGTCAACCTTGGGGGGGGGGGTTGTGAGAGTGAAGGATGAACCATCTTAAAATCAGAAGTGTGTTTCAGAAATTGGGCAAACACTTTTCTTTGGTTGAGGACTTGACCTGGATGGGCCAGGCTAGGCCGATCTCGTCAGATCTCAGAAGCTAAGCAGGGTTGGCCCTGGTTAGCACTTGGATGGGAGACCACCGAGGAAGTCCAGGGTTGCCGGCTGCAACTTTTTTCCCCTAGTTCACAAAATGTTTATTTATGCAAAGAGTTCATAGCCAAGTCAAAATTATCTACTCCAGAAGTTCTAGACAATAAAGGTGAAGCCGACAACAGTTGGTTTTATTTCAGTATTGCATCTTCGCTAGCTTCTGCCAGTGCTTTTGCAATGCATTCCACTTCTTCACGTTTCTTCTTCTCTTCCTCTTCTATTCTCCGTTCCTCCGCAGCAATAGGCTTCAAGTAGTCATCTCTTTTCTTTCCATAGATCATTCCGATGAGCAATGCCGAGTACCTGGTGAACATGATCAACGGAGAGACCTCCACCGGGGGAATCATCCTGCCCGCCTCGGCCTCTCTCCGGCACACGGAAACGGACGTGACGCACAGCAAAAGTAAGGCGGGGCTACAAGCAGAGGCTTGTGGGAGCGGCCAAAAGTCGGCTACAACTTGACGGCGCTCTACACGCACGCAGCTCGGGAAAGACATGTCCTCTCGCCACGCCACAACCATCTGCATAATAAAGATAGACCAGCTCGTCAGCGGCGCATATGCACCCCCGCGCATAAATTGATGTCAGCCTGGCCTCCATGTGGGCAAGATAAATACAACAGACAATCATCATCATATTGATATCAGAACCAAGAAAGGGAACCGGCATAGTAATGGATGGTATCCAGCAGAGATCTGATACGACGGAATGGAGAGGCTTTCATAAACACTCGGAAGGACTAGTTTACACGGCAAATAAAATACAATAAAAAGGGGGGCGAGATGATAGGCTGTGATTTCACTTCGCAAATAAATATAGCCCAGCTGAGCTCGCCTTCATTTGTCTTTGGGAGGCCATTCGGTTTCCTTATTAAAGACTGACATAAAAGCCGCGCGCGGCGATAAAAACGTGTGTTCTTCGCGAAAGCAAAACATGTCCCCCTTTGTTCATCATTTGCAACCCACATTGTTCTGATATATAATGGGAAATATACGTCTGGATTGGGGTTGGGTTTTTTTTTGTTTTGTTTTGCATTTTTATCGGCCGGCCGAATATTTGAAAGCTACATGCATAGCAACTGCGAGCGGAGTGTGCTTTGTTGGCTTCCTATTTGCCGTCACATTTCCACCTTTGTGTAAGCCACTCGGAAAGGAAAGGGGCATCCAGAAAGTCTTGTAGATGTTCTCTGTCTGCAGAGCGTTTGGAGGTGGACAGGGCGGTCTAGTTGCAGCTGACTTCTGTGACCCTCCAGCCTGGTGCAGGGCTATTTTTGGGCAGGAACGTGCAGGAACGGAGTTCCGGCTGGCTCCCGAGTTGGCCACGCCCAGCAGGAAAATTAGCATAATAGGCCACACCCAACAACATAAACTCATTAGGATTGGTCATCAAGGCCATGAAGCTCAGAATCCCAAATGTACCCAGAGGCTCACAAAGGGGGGGGGGGCTTGCTATAGGGTTTTCAAGACAAGAGATGAACAGACGTGGGTTTCCATGGCCTGCTTCTAACCCTAGACTTCCTTGGTGGTCTGCCATCCAAGTACTAACCAGGGCCGCCCCTGCTTAGCTTCGAAGAAGAAGAAGAAGAAGAAGAAGAAGAAGAAGAAGAGAAGAGATTGGATTTATACCCCACCCTTCACTACCCAAAGGTGTCTCAGAGCAGCTTACAAAGTTGATGGGACAACTGTGGGTAGCCTGGGCTATCCAGGTCAGGGTGCGGAGTGTTTCGAGATGCATCTTTCTCCCCTCCTCTGTTTTATCCACAAAACCAGCCTATGAGATAAATTAAGCTCAGGGAGTGCAACTGGCCCAAGATCACCCAGCGAGCTGCCATGGGACGAGTAGGGATTTGAACCCGAGTCTCCCAGATTCTATTCCAACACTCTTAACCACTCCACAACATTGGCTATGCAGAGCTACTTGCTGGCAGGTCATTCCTAAGAGCATGGCGTGCACGGGAATGTCATTAGGAGATCCAGAAAATTCCTGAAGTCCACATTTCATATGCCACTGCCAAGCGTGATATATGGTGGGTTGGCTGTCCACTCAGGAGTAAAGAAGCATTTCTCCCTCTTCCTCCTTTCTTCGCCAGGCAAGCTGTGGATGTGCAACATCCAAGTTGCTCAGTGCACTCTGGGAAATGTAGTTCCTAGGTCAGATGACATAAGGATGTCATGTGTCTTGGGAGTGGTCCAAACCCAGGTGCCATCAGGAGGTCCACCAGTGGGAACATAAACACATAAGATAAACCGTGCTGGATCAGGCCAATGGCCCCTCTAGTCCAACACTCTGTCTCACACAGTGGCCCAAACCCAGGTGACATCAGGAGGTCCACCAGCGGGGCCATAAGAACATGAGAGAAGCCATGTTGGATAAGGCCAGTGGCTCATCCAGTCCAACATTCTGTGCCACACAGTGGCCAAAACCCAGGTGCCATCAGGAGGTACACCAGTGGGGTCGTAAGAACATAAGAGAAGCCATGTTGGATCAGGCCAATGGCCCACCCAGTCCAACACTCTGCATCACACAGGGCCCAAAACCCAGGTACCATTAGGAGGTCCACCAGTGGGGCCATAAGAACATAAAAGAAGCCATGTTGGATCAGGCCAGTGGCCCCTCCAGTCCAACACTGTGTCACACAGTAGCCCAAACCCAGGTGCCATCAGGAGGTTCACCAGCGGGGCCATAGAACATAAGAGAAGCCATGTTGGATCAGGCCCATCTAGTCCAACACTGTGTCACACAGTGGCCAAAACTCAGGTGCCATCAGGGGGTACACCAGTGGAGCCATAAGAACATGAGAGAAGCCAGAATTCCAGAAGCCCTCCCATTGTTGCCCCCCATGTTTAGTTCTTTGGTCCATCAAAATCAAGAGAGGTAGAAAACAGTCTTCCGGAATGCGGTCTCTTCTCCACACGACTCTCCTGAGACTGTGCATACATACAGATACACCATGAAGTTCTACTAATCTGGCAATTGTGTACGCATAACAATCCACCCCTAAAAACAATAAGTTCTAGCCACTAGTCCACTCTCAGTGGTTCCAAAACTCAAGTTTCCACCAAACTTTTGCTTACTGAGAAATTTACCACAAATGAGGGTAACGGGGGTCTCCCTTGGGCAACCTAAGAAGATGATGAGAGTTATTGGTAAGAGTTGTGAAATGGTACCAGGTGTCTGGTCCCCAGTTAATTCACTCTCCACACACACTATTGGCAGTGTAATGCTTTATTAGAGATATGATGCTGTGGGTTCAAGAGCTTTTGTTAGGACTGAAGAAATTCGCAGGAAATTACAAGATGTAGGTAAAAGCATAAAATTCCACATTCATCCATGTCACACCTACCCCTGGCGTTACTATGGCAACACAAACAGATATATGGTGCCCTATCTAAACTAGGGAGCTGCGGTGGCTCAAGTGGTTAAGACGCTGAACTGCAGGCTGTGGAAGGTCGGTAGTTCAGCAGTTCGAGACCCGGGTGCCGCAAGACGGAGTGAGCTCCCGTCTCTAGTTCCAGCTCCTGCCAACCTAGCAGTTCGAAAGCAAGAAATTGCAAGTAGATAAATAGGTACCACTTCGGTGGGAAGGTAACAGCGTTCCGTGCGCCTTGGTGTTTAGTCATGCCGGCCACATGACCACGGAAACGTCTTCGGACAGCGCTGGCTCTTCGGCTTTGAAACGGAGATGAGCACCACAACCCTAGAGTCGGACTCGACTGGCTTTCGAGCAAGGGAACCTTTACCTTTTTATCTAAACTAGGCTGGCAGAGAGATCTTCCAAGGTCAGTCCCACAGGAACCAACTTGGGGCGCATCTTCAGGAAAGTTACGGCCTCTCCTCCCATGCACTCCAACAACACACACACATCCCTTAGGAATTCAAAATGACAAGCGAAGGTGAAGAGAAACAGGACTTAAAGAAATAGAAAGTTAAGCTTGAGCTTGACACCAGGGTTTTTCTCGCACATCTGTACTTCTGCATAATTACTTAACATGTTGTCGCGCCGACGAAATAGTGTGGATCAAAATTTGTCTCAACCGCTTTCCTACCCCCGACGCCTCCCAATGCGCTCAGCCACCAGCTCTGCTCACATCACCAACATGGTTTATACTGTTAACCTCAGAGCTTCCTGGCTTCTGTTCTATCAACCTCATCTTGCGGTTTTTGTCTTGAACTGTTCGCGGAAAGACCCTTTTTCTCAAGAGGGCATAGGAAGTCATCAAAAGGTGCACAGCATTTATGGAAACTGTGCCTCATTCCTTCTCTTTCCAAAATACATTTTTTGTATTTTTTATTGGTGATTATCAATGTTCCCTCTAAGCTGTGGAGTCTTGTGAGCGAAAATTCCACTTTCTGAGCTACTGGCATTAAAGCTGTGAGCAAGCAATTTGGCTACTGCATACATTAGTTTCCTCTGGAGCCCTCCTTCCTGAACTGAGACAAAAATGTGTGAGCCGGAGGCTCAAAAACTGTGAGCTAGCTCACACTAACTCAGCTTAGAGGGAACACTAGTGATTATACCAGGTTCTTTAAGAAACTGGTGCATCAGCAACAGTCTCAGAACAGGACATCAGTCACCATTCAAAGCAGAGGTCCAAAGGTACGCTAACTGAATGAGTTAGTGCAAACTGTATGTGACGTTATCTCTCTTTTTTGTAGATGGCGGTCAGAATTTGGGAGCAGCATCTGTGGTCTGATTCTCAAATGTGCATTCAGTATGAGAGCCTATGCGTGGATTGATATTTTTTTTCTTTTTTAAAAAAAGTAAAATGCAACATTATAGAACATAAAGTTTGCCTCTGTGATCAAAGAAGACAGACAGGAAAGATTAGAATCCAGTGCAGTAGCACCTTACAGGCCAACAAGGTTTTCAAGGGTATAATCTCCCTTCATCAGAAAAGAAAGAGTGACACCTACTGACAGAACATAGTAATACAAAGCAGCATTAATCCACCTAAAGGGGATAAGACAGAAGATACAGATAGATTTAACAACAATACAGAGGAGAGGCAACCTATAACCTCTGTTATAAGCAGAACATAGTTGTATTGTCAACTTACTTTTTGTGTTTCAGCCAGATGAACAAAAATAGGTATACAGCAGGTGGAAACAGAAAAAATCATACCATCAATGCTCCCTCTAAGCTGTGAGCAGAAATTCTATTTTGTGAGCTACTGGCAATAAAGTTGTGAGCTAGCGATTTGGCTACTGCATAAATTAGTTTGCTCTGGAGCCCTCCTTCCTGAGCTATGACAAAAATATGTGAGCCGGAGTCTAAAAGACTGTGAGCTAGCTCACACTAACTCAGCTTAGGGGGAACACTGCATATCATATATTAACTCTTTTCCTTTTCATGATTTCTAGACCAACCCTTCAGACATCCAAAGCAGTTTACATGGACATTCAGAGAAACAT